TATCCCCTAGGCAGCTCTGACCCCCGTGCTGGCCTCCCCTTTCTCTCTGACAGACAAGATTTTGCCCGACAACATGATCTGCATGGCTAACAATACACACAAAGGCTCCACCACTTTGAAGGGCATTTCTTAAGGTCCTGGAACATTGTGCTGCTAGCATTTAAGTCCCAACATTGTCACCTCACAGTCTGGGGGCAGCTTCTTTGAGCATGGGGAGGGTGGGGCTGAGGGGGGCTGCCTGTCCCTCCCCTGGCTCTTGATTTTGTCTGAGATAAATATTATGAACACAATAGGAATGTGTGCCCCAAATCTTTATGTTTTCAGGTGGGCAACAAAAGAGTGATGGGCAGTGGATGCCCAGATATTTATTAATAACAAGAATGACAGGGCCACCCCAGTTGCCCAGCTGTCGGAGCAGGGGTGGGTAGAATGGAGACTGACAGGTGTCAGAGCAGGGGTAGGTAGAATGGAGATTGACAGAATATCTGCAGCAGAAATCCTGCTCTGTCTGGAAGTGCTTCCTCTGTGACACAGTGGGCTCCAGACCACCCTTCAGGTCTTAGCTGTGCTTCCTTGGTCACCCTGGATAGCCCAGGGGTGAGGCCACCCTATTTCTGGGACCCTGCTCCCCACTGAGGGCCAATTATTCTAGGCTGTGGCTTTCCATCTGTCTTCTCTATTAGCCTGGACTTGGGTAGGAAGGCCACTTGGCACAGAAGGGCCCACAGAGGCTGCGTGTGCAGCGTGGGATGGAAGCTGAGAGTGCACAGGTGAAGGCCGGGCAGGCCCCATGGGAAGAGTACAGAGCTGGGTGGGATTGGAGGCTGGGCCTCTTCAGGCCCCCAAGTGGCTTTTCCATGGGCTCTGCTCCGGTGGGCCTGTGACACCTGATGGCACTGCTTGGCTGGCCAGAAGCCCTGAGCTGCCTCCTGCCCAGACAAAGCCAGGCCGTATGGTCAGGGCACCAGCAGAAACAGGACTGAAGTCATGGGCATACTAAATCTGACACATGAGCCATGGAGAGGGTGGCAGGGGAGTTCATCGTGATGACTTAGGCCTGGGTTCCTGCTGGTGGTGGGCACCCCAGAAGATTCCACCAGACCTGTGGGGGTAAGGGACGGGAAGGAGCAGGCAGATCTCTGATTGCATGGCTCTAAGGGCCAAGACCTTGGGCACTGTACCCCACTTGGAGTGAGCTCAGGCCCCTAGCAGGATGGGGCCATGCCTGCTGGGATTGCGGGGCATGGCCTGGAGATGCACACTGACACCCACAGGGTCTCTTCCCTGCAGACTCCGGGTGGCAGTCCTGGACTGGCTCTCCCGCTCCAGCCCTAGCATGGCCTCCCTCGTGGGACCCAGGGCTGGGCACCCTCAGCTCATTTCCCTTCCTGATTGCAATCAGCCATTCAGCTGCAGAGGAGGCTCTCCCTGGCTAGGCTGACGCAAATGCCCGGGCGGAATTACTTTCTTACAGGAGGCCAGGCCTCTCCGGAGGGGTTAGGCCTGTGGCTTGTGTGCGGGGGAGGCAAGGGGAGTTCCTGTGATTTCACCTGAAGAGGCTCCTTTAGAGTCAAGGGCAAACCTCAAAGTCAACTCCAGAGGAGGCCCAGGCTCCACCTAGTTCCCCTGAGAGGCAGCAGGGGCTTGTGGAGGCACCCAGATGGCCTCCACAGTGAAGGCTGGGCAGCCCCTCAGAACACATTCACTCTGTGGAATGCACATGGGGATGGTGTTGGGTTGCACTCAACGGGCTTTTCTAGAGGGGCTGGACACAGCGCCTCCTGCCTCCCTTGCTCGGCAGTCCCTGCTCCCTTCCCTGCCCCCCATGACCTTTTCCAATGGCCCAAGGCCCCTGCCTTGGGGTCTTCCATTCTACACTCTGGCCCAGAGAGGCCCTGAATTTTCCCCACCTCCTTGACCTCTGACCCCAGGCTCTCAGTCCCTCAAGGTCATTCCCCAGGCAGTCAATTCATAGACTCCCAACCAAGCTGCCCTCCTTGCCTGTAAACTCTACCTCCCCAAACCCTCAGGGGCTGACTGCTTCCCCTTCCCTAGGGAGCACACAGAAGCCATTGCTGCCTCCCTGCCACTAAACCTGTGGACCCAACCCACTGCACCTTCCTGCCAGGTGGACGGCGTGCCAGGCAGCCTCTCCCTGAGCACCCTGCCCAGTGGGCATGTGCTACCTGGTATTGGGAGCCCTCCCTGCATGCACCCACCTCAGGCACCCAAGACTCTGGCCCATCACCCTGTTCATCTCCAGCAGGAGATACTCACGCTCCTGTCTGGAAAGTGCCTTCTCTGACCCTTGGCTCCTCAGGCTGCCCCATCCCTCTCTCCCTTCAGATTAAAACTTCTTCCCAGTGTCTCTGTCTGACCCTCACTCCCCCCACTGCCACCACCACTCGCTAAAACTGCCCCTCCAGGGGCACCAGTGGCCTCCTTGTCAGTAATGCCAGGGGCTGCGCTGTATTCTCACCCCTAATCTGTTGCTTTCCAGTGCTGCCCAGGTGGGTGCTCAGCCTCTGGGGTCAGACAGGCCTGCCCGCATTCATCCTCAGGAGCTCAGCAATTCAGCCTTGATTTCCTCATCCGTAAAATGGTAAAAAGAGTACCTGCCTCAGATGCTCCTTGTAAGGATTAAACAAGTTGATCCATGAAAACAGCTTAGTGCCCCAAATGCACTAAGGGCTGCTAGTGGAAGTTAGCTTGTACTCTTTCCCTCTGTCCAGTTCTCTCCATCTGCATCAGAATCACTCTAATCCAGCCTCCCTGCCTCTATGGTCCGGAGAACTCCTGACCCCTCCCTGGCTACCCTGCTGTCCTGACCTCCCAGCCATTCTCCCTTTGGGCTTCCTGGGACCCCACCCTTCCCTGGCTGAAAACCCTGCAATGTTTTCAGTGCTCCTAGCATGAACCTCCTGCTTCTGTAATAGACTTCAGACTCATTTTTAAAACAAGAGACAAATGCTACAAATATCAATATTTACAACAGCAATACTCAGCATTTTTCTTTGCTATAATCTAACACAAAAGAAGAACTTTCAAAGGAATACATACAGGAATATTCAACCTCCATAGCTTTAAAATTCCCTCAAAAGGACTGTTTACATAAAAAAAAAAAAACAGGTGTTTTTTTCTTATGTAAAAATCACATTTTTTTTGTGCACAGGTCCCCAAAACTTTTATATGGACTGTAACACCAACCCGTCGTTGAGTCCTGAAGCCCTGGGTCTCTGGGGAACCCCACTCCTGCCTGAGCTGAGGACTTTAAGTAAGAACTTCTTCAGTGTCGTGTGAATGGCATGAGGACCTTGTCAAAATGTGATTTCTGGTTGAGAAAGTTTGGGGTGAAGTCTGCACCTCTAACAAGCTCCCAGGTAATGCTGAAGCCATAGGTCCAAGGTCCAGGCGGGAGCAGCAAGACTCTCAGCCTGCGTCTCCCCACAAGACTGAGTTTCTTAGGAGATGGACCCTGTCTGTGTCACTCACAGTGCCTGCCCATGGCAGGTGCTCCACGAAAGCTTGCTGAAGGAGTTGTGCCCAGTCCCTGTGTGGCCTCACGTCCCTGGGGTCTTGGAGACGGTCCACTTGCTTTCTGAGGATGCTCTGGGCCCAGCCCCGGGCTGAGCCAGAAGCCATGTTAACTGGCTGTGGGCACTATTATCACCACACTGCCTTGGGTCACAACCTCTCCACCTGCCTCCTCTGCAGCCACATCCCGGTCCTCGTCTTTACAAGACTTGCTCCTGCTCAGAAGCCTGAAACACCCAGGTTCTCCCACCTCGGCATGGCCTCCTCTCCTCCGTCTCCCATACTGACTGCATTGCCCCTCACCCTGGGCCCTGGCTTCCATCCTGCCTCCACCTCCCCACCCCACGCCTACTCTCCTCAAAGAACTCTGCCCCACGACCCCCTCACACTTACCCCTTTCCTGACCGCCCTACCCTGGGCCTGTGTCAGAGCTTGACTGGTATCACAGGGCAGGGGCCACCTTGTCCTGCAGGGCTGCCCCCTGGGCTCCCACCCTCCTGGGCTTCCTGCTTCCTCTCTGGCTGCTGCTTCTTGGGTCCCTTGTCCCCCCAGTCTGTCCTGGCCCCTTCCCCACTCTGTAAACCCTCCCATCAGTCCACACTGCCAAGTCCTTGCAGCTGCACCGACTGTGGTCCAGACCCTGCAACACAGCTCTCTCTTTGGTCACCAGCCCCTGTCACTAGAGGTGGCCCGAGACTAGCAGGTTGCCCTCCTCTCCTCCCTTCCCTCTTCCCTAGGACCCTGGCCAGCTCCCTCCTCCTGTGTCCTGGTGACGGCTTCCTCAAGGTCCCTGAGCCCAGCAATCCCGTGCCGCAGGGGACTGCGGGCATCAGGAGCCCACAGTGCAGGGCTGTGCTGCCACCAGACGAGTGAAAGAACGGGCATCTGGTGTCTGGGCTCCGTCTGCCAGGAGCAGCAAGTGTTGAAAAGGAGCTGTGCGAAGCCTGTGAGGCAAACCCTGGGGGCTGTACCACCAGGAACTCAGTGCTGGGAGAGCGTCAGATGATGTTCTCGGTGCTCGAGCCCACACGTGGATGAGAACCGTGTGACAGGTGGCCAGACAGCTGAGGGTCAAAGCTGTCCAGGGACAGCGGGACCAGGCCCACTGGGCGGGAGGCTCAGGGAGCTCAGACTCGGGTGGGCCCTCACCTGCTAGAGGGGTCCTGTCACCTGTCTCTGCTCTGCCAGTGGCCTGCCCAGCTCTTAGCCTCCTTGGCAAGATGAGGAGATACCCTTTCGATAATTTTTTTTCCAAGTTGCACTGATCTCAAGTACTAGAAAGTGATGAATAAGTCTGTGGTTAGCTGTGGAGGTTCCATGTCAGATAAAGGTTCTTCCGATGCCTGCCCCCCTATCAACTGGGTGTGGGCACGCGGCTGCTGTGCATAAAAGACGGGAGACGGTCTCGGACGCTTCAGAACGGCACGAAGGACCAGGACCAGACAGACGGCATCCTGCCAGCAAGCATGAGCAGCCTCCCCATTCTGCACTTTCTCTTGCTCCTGCTCAGACTCCAAGTCCCTCAGGCACAGGGCTTCCCGACACTCCGGCCTGACCAGTACTCTGTGATAGTCACTGAGATTCTGAGAGCCCTCAACGAGTCACCTTTGGCTTCACAAGTGAGTAGCTGGGATAAGTATGGGCAGGGAGGGTGCTGTCAGCCAACGGGACTCACTCAACGGGCTGTCTCTCTCTCTGCCCCCACAGAACCCCTTGAACTGGAATGACAAATTGATCCTGCGGGTAAGAGCTCAGCCCTGCATGTGGCTGCATCTGGGGCCCAATCCATCCCCTCCATGGGGGGCCTCAGGCCTGTCACCCCACCTGCCTGGCCTTAGCTTTCATCTGTAAATGGGGTTGACAGCATCTATCCCAGTGAGTGTGTTGCTAGAATTAGGCAGCACAATGTGAGTGAAGGTCCCAGACCTGTGTCTGATGCTCAAAGGACTTGCTTAGAACATTGCCTGCTCATGGCTATGATAGGAAAATGATTTTTTTTGTTGTTGCAAAATTGAAAGGGGCAGCTTGAGGTGAGCAATACCAAAGGCCTCAAGTTCAGTTTTCAGTGGGGCAGTCCCTGGACTGGCAGAATAAAACGTCCCCCATGACTGCACCTGCTTCCTTCCTTTTCCTTAAAAAACAGAGCCACGCCTTCCACCCTGAGTGACCCTGGACATCATTACATAGAGTGAGCTTCTGAGCTCCAGTCGGCTTCAGGGGTTACCTCTCCTTTGCTTGAACGGCATTTCTTGGGTCACACAAGAGGCTGAATCTCTCCTGAGTTTATTGGCCATTGGTATTTCTCCCCTTTTAGGCGCTCAGGGTTCTCATGCAGCTCCCTCTCCCATGCTGGGGTCTCTGTGATTTTCTTCCTAATTTCTAGGAGCCCTTAATTCAGTCAAGGCATTAACCCTATCATCTGGCCTCTTAGCTGCGAGTATTTCCCCTAGCCAGCACTCCACCTTGGGTAGAGCCAGTTTTGGGAAATATATATTTTTTCCCCAGGTGTAGAAAGGTCCGCCTGGGCCCTCTACACAGCTGACATGGAGTCAGGGGCTCTGGGCATGAGGGAAGAGGGCCTCACCCAGGGTGTGCCCTCTCCTCCGGGCCTATGCCCTTTAGGGAAGCTCGGGAACCCACTCAGGACAAGAAAGGCACAAGGAGAGGAGTGCCCAAGGATGCCCTGAAAGGGGCTTAGAAACGGTGGGGTGACTTTAGCCTGTTCACGGAAGGAGACGCCTCAACCTTTCCCCCCGCATGTATTCTTGGTCCCCTCAGAACAGGGCCCTTCTGAGGCCAAACCTGGATGCATTTCTGGAAGCTGCCAGTAATTTGTATGGGAACGACTCACAAATCAGGAAAAATCTTAAGGTGTGTGAAGCTGTCGAGGATTTCTGGGACCCCCACCACCACCCCTGCCTTGGCCCTGCCCCCTCTCCCGGGGATGAGGGTAGCAGGGCCTCCTCCTTCCCAGGTCAGTCTCTGCCCGTCTGCTTTGGTCTCTTTCCACAGGAATTCCGGCCTATCCTGCCCACCCCCACGACTGAGGTGAGCTGCCCCAAGATGCCCCTGCAGGTGCTGCCTTCAGTCATGACTTGACCCCAGCCTGTCATCCACCTTCCAACCTTGCCTCATCTAACGCCACCTTCATCGTTTCTTCACAGGCAGACCAAATCCGTATCGAGGAGAGTAACAAGGGTGATTTCCAGCGTAAATTGAAGCAGTATCTGGTAACCATTAATAGTTTCCTGCGTGACAGGAACAGGCATTGAGCTGTACTTTCCTCAGTCCGATGTCTGGCTCCCTCTCTGGGCCTTCTCACCGCAGGCCCTTGGGACGTCAGAAAGAGCAGAACATCTGAAGATTACGGGGTATCTCTCACACAGTCCAGGACCAGAACATTTTCATTTACTGTAGACTCAGAGAATTGTTAATTGTCTAGTTTCTGAAATGTGCCACCCCTCTTTGGCTGTTTTTGTGACTATGTTCTCATTTTGATCCTATGAAGGCTATTTATTTATGTATTTATTTATTACTTTGTGCAATGTGAACCGTATTTATTTGAGCAGGGGAGCTGTGTCCTGCTCTTTCTAAACAGGAATCAACAGGGGGATTCGGGGGTACATTTATTTGTACTTCAGGTTTTAAACTGATTTCTCACATCTGTGAAAATAAATTACACTCTTGGAACAAATGTTTTGTCACCAGTGTCTCAGTTTGACTCAGGTCTTAGGAACTCTCTTGCCTGATAATAGAGCAGCTCTCTCCCACCCCAGCCTTCTGGCTTCCCTGCCACCAGTGGGCCCCAGAACCCACACCCTGCCAATCTGTGGTCCACTGGGGAGACAGATTGCCTCTTAAACCATGAATATCTGACCAGGTTGGTCTGATACTTTATTTCCCAGTCCTCAGGGTCTTTTGGACCTTATTCACTTACTAAGGACAGCATAAGAGGCCTTCTTCCACCTGCTCTTTCTGTTTCCTTACTCCCACAGCTGCCAACCCTCTTGATACTGCAGCCATCAGAAGTGCTGTGGCTTCCAAGATGAACCACACACCTTTCGTCCCACCACTACATCTTTACCCACACTGTCACCTTGGTCTTTTGCGCCCTACACCTGACTCAGCATGGCGAGTTTCTACTTCAGAACCAACTCAAATGCTGCTTGCCTCTGGGTCGTGCACACTAGTCTAGGACAGGACTCTTCTCTGAAATGGGTGGGTAGGTGGGGACCCACTGGAAGGACAGCCAGTGTGGCCCTGAGGAAGCACAGACTGATGTGGGAGATGGAGGCTGGGACACCCCTGTGTGTGGCTCCAGGCTGCGACCTGACCCATGGGGACCAACCAGCCTGTCAGGCTGTGTGCCTCCCTCTCTGGCTCGTCTGCACCCCGAGCAGGAGCATCCCCTCCAGTCTGTGGGGGACGGGGAGGAAGGGCAGAGTGAGCCTTCCTCTGTCACCATCTTAAGGAGCAATGTCACCCTCTCTGACCACAAGTCCCATAAGTACTTTGGGTGCTGACCCAGGATTCTGGGGTCCAGCCCCAGTTGTCTCTGTTTTCTGCCTTGACCCATCCTCTCCTCAGGCTGTGAGTAGGGAATAGCCCAGCTAGGTGAGTGGAACAAGAGGAAGTGGAAGAGTCCTCTACTACCAGCTCACCAATCTATTCCCCCACATTCCTCCTCCTAACAAATGATTGTGTTCCCACAAAAGTAACTTCCTTCTTACCTTGGGCTCCCCTCTGCTTGGTGCAGGGACAGCTCTGTGGCGCCCAGGGAAGACTCCCTCTGGGACTTGGCCCCCGGGGCTGCAGCTGCTGCAGCCTCTGGCAGAGCCACTAGAGGGAGGCACATGACGGGGTTCGGGTGCTCCAGGGCCCAGGCGGGAGGTAGCCCGAGAGGAGGTGGGGAGAGACCCGAATCTAGACTGGGGTTCTCACTTTCTTGCTCCCCTCCCACCCACACCTTGGAGCTGGTCCTATTTTCATCCTGGGTGAGGTAAATATTTGTGCCCCACACCCCTGTTTCCAGGATGAGTCATTGCTTGTCACCTCTTCACTCCCTTGCCTCCCTCCAGGCACGTGGGTCCTGCTACCTACCCTCTGCCCTGGTGGGGAGGAGATGGGCCATGTGGCCTGTCCTGAGATGCTCCTCCTGAACCTTGTCTTCGGCAGGCCAGAGCCTGGGGTCGCTGGGACCTGCTCACACTGGCTCACAGAGCCAATTGTTAAATCTTTTAAGAAATTGCCAGCCACTTATCAAACCACCTGGTGCTTGAAATGGACCACAGTGAGTATTTACACTGAGCACTGGCAAACGCTACAAAGCAGATTTTCCCTGAGGGTCTGTTGTTAAACTTTTACCAGCTGCTGGACTTCCCTGAGCTGAGGTGTGGGGAGGTAGCCAGCAGTCTGCCATTTTGCTCTTACCTGGCTGTCCCCTTCCAGGGCCTCTCCTCAGCGCTCCTGGCCCTTTGTCCTGCAGCGGCACTGCCTCACTCCAGGCTGGAGGGCACTGCATTTCTTCCGTGCCTCGGCACTCATATTGTCAGCACACACTGGCTGAGCACCTGTGTGTCAGGCCCCGTCTCCGGCCTGGGGATATGGCAGTGAACTAGCAGAGGGTGCTGGCCCCAGGAGGCTGCCTTAGATTGGCTGGTCTGGGAAGGCCTGAGGAGGTGACAACAGGGAATGGCCGAACCTGAATGACAAAGAAAGTGCCAGCCATGTGGCAATCAGGGAGGAAAGAGCTCTGGACAGAGCCAACGGCAGGTGCGAAGACCCGGAGCCTGGAATAGGCTGTGAGCATTCATGGAAGGGAAGGAAGGCCAGCGACAGGAGTGGCTTCTGGTAGGGAGCCTGCACATCTCCCTCAGTTTCTCTCTCACCCCTCCTCTGGCCCAGACCCTGTGTTAGTGCTTGAGGACCGCAGGACTAGTGGTCAATTCAGACACAGGCCTGGTGCACGAAGATCACAGGGTGCAGGGGAGGGAGGACAAGACCCATGCTGGAGGTGGGTGATGGGGGTGACATGCTTGAGAGGGGCTGGGCCTTCTCCGATATTTGGGGGGCTCATCAGTGGCCTTCTTAAGGAGCCATCCAGCCTGCTCTAGGTTGGACTAGGATGAACAAAGGGCCTGAGGCACTCAAGTTCACCTTTAATCCCAGACCTCAGACACTGCCTGTGGGCAGATTTCCCGTCCCAGGCACAGCCTGAGCTGGGGCCCAGAACCAAGTGCTGGTCATTCCCAGACAGGCTGGGGCATTTCTGCAGCAGTGCTCAGCTGCCTGTGGAGATGGCTGATGACTCCCTGCCCCAGTGGGAGGCCCTGGGGTATTGCGTCTCCCCTGCAGTTCTGTCAGCTTGAGGTCTTTTCTGAGCCTGCCCAGGTCTGTAAGACCAGTTGCCACCAGGGGGCAGCAAAGCCCTGTTGTAAATCCCAGGATGGCATCTGATGGCCCAGTTCCTAACTTCCCAAACCTGAGGTGCCTGCCTCTTCAGCAGGAAAATAGATTACCTCAACCAGGAATTTTATTTTAATTTAAAAAGTATTATAGTTTTTCACTCTGAGGGCAATATGACAAAATTTGGAAATACAGACACACAGAGAGAGAGCAAAGGGAAACTGCCAGGAAGGCAAGTGTCTGAGGAGAGGGGAGCTCACAGAGGCCCAGCCCGCCCCCCTCCACGCTGGGGGCCCTCCTGCTCCAGGTAAGGCCTCTGCTCCTCCCGCCCTGGCTTCCCACCCTGCCTGGCTCAGGTCAGCAGACCCACGAGGACCCTCCATGGCTGAGCCCAGGCCGGTGTGGGCAGCTGGGGAAGCACTGAGCCAGGCCTTTGGGGGCCTGCTGGCCACATCCAGGTGGCCCCCACAGTGTGATGGGCGTTACACAGACAAAGCAATGGATGGGCAGGTGTGGATCTCATCACAGAGGCTTCCCGCAGGAGTCACACCCAGGGAGCCTGAGAAAGGAGTGGGAATTCGTCAGGTGGAGAGGTGCAGAGGATGTGAGGCACGTGGCCCCAGGGGGCAAAGGCATGGAGGTCTGAGAGTGCAGGGTGAGCTGGGGCACTGAGAGCCTAGGCAGCATACAGCGCCTGAGTGTGGGGGCCAGGGGGCCAGGTGGGGGCAGGACCCCCAGAGCACCCTGGCCACTGCCTTGCCTCCGGACCGCAGGCACCTCTGGCTCCCAGCCTGGTGCCTTCCCCCATCCGTGTTCCTCTCCGGGCCCCTGGCCTGGCCGCTGTGGAGACAGCAAGATGGAACACCCATGGTCTGGGGAGTGGTGGGTGCGCGGAGGGGGAGGATAGGATGGGGCTCCATCAGACACTGTGTTTGACACCAAGATGAAGGAGCCAGGGTGTTGAGGGTAGAGAGCTGCTGGAAGAAAGAGAGCTGGCTGAGCAGAGCAGGATCCCTGGGCCTGTGGGGGGAGTGAGGGAGAGGCTGGAGCACTGGGGCCTGAGTGAGTGCTTACCCTGCTGGGGCCTCAATTTTCCCCTTGAAAACCTCAGGTCAGCCTCATGGAAGAAAGAGGAGGCAGGCCAAGGACCTGCTGCCCTCCTGGGAGGAGAGGGGCCTAGGGAGCCCCTCAGTGTGCGGCTGAAGTCCACCACTACCCCTGTTTTACATATGAAGAAACAGAGTCCCAGAAATTGAAGGGGTCTGACTCCAGAGTCACTGAGTCCTTAGGCCACAGTGCTGCTGCCAGTGCCCTCTGAAGCTCAGGGCCCCCTTGACTGGTCCCAGGCCCCCAGAGGCAGCCCCCGGCTCCACAGCCCCCACCCCCCGGTTCCAGCTCCAGGGGTGAGCAGCACAGCCACAGCGCCACAGCTCCCCCGTCCACTCACCCAGGCACCATATGTGTATCACCAACTCCTCGGTGCCCCTCTCCTACCCAGCATCCCCAGTACCTACTCACTGGGGCTTAGCTCTGGAGTTTGGCCCTGCGTGTTCCTGTCCCTGCGTCCGTCGTCCCCATGCTTCATGGAGCCTCTGAGCGAGAGGGAGACCACGGCTCAGTCGCTCCTGCCTTGGCTGCAGTCAAGGCCCCCTGTGACACCCCCCTTCTCCCTACCAGGAGCCCTGCCTGCTCCCCAGGGTGTCCTCATCCCTCAGACAGGTGCCTCCCTGCTAGGTGCCCTGGGACTTGCTCTACAGACACTGGGTGAATGCCCTGACGCAGCCCTGCAGTGGAGGGCATGTGGGCCGTGCCAGGGACCAGCAGCAGAGAAGGACGTGACCAAGAGGTGCGTCCCTGAGAGGGGCTG